TTTTTTTTTTTTTTTAAAGTTGGAGTCTCATTCTGTCGTACACGCTGGAATGCAGTGGCACACACGGTCACGGCCACCTCGGTGTCGACCTGCTGGGCTCTTGTGATCCTTCTGCCTCAGCCTTACAAGTAGCTGGAACTACAGGCGGGGGCTACCATGCCCCGCTAATTTTTTATTTATTGTAGAGATGAGGTCTCGCCAAGTGCCCCAGCTGATCTCGAACCCTCAGGCTCCCAGAGTGCTGGGACAACAGGCTGAGCCACGGAGCCTGGCCGTTAGCACCTTTCATACCCCAGTATGTCCAAGGAACTCAAGCTCACCTTCCTTCTTGGCTCCCTTTTTTTTGCTGTTTTTTGCTTTTTCCTTGGGTTTATCCCCCCGTGTTTCAATCATGGATCTCACAGGTTTCTTGGCCTTTTCAGAATCTTCAAATTTCTTCATGGTAGTGGGAGCACGGATCTTACTGCTCTCCTCTGCTTCACTAAAGAGAAAAAAATGGTTGACCTTTCTACCCCATGCAGGAGGAAAAATCAAAGTCCAGAGAAAGGACCACCACTCCAAAAGGACACTCAGAACTGGGTAGCAAATTAAGAATATCTTTGAACACACAATTCACTACCCTTGAACCACCTTCAGGAAGGGAGCTAATCAAGTCATGGAAATTGATTTTGGAAAAGGGGAGGCCTCTCACCGAAGGAGCTGCAGGAAGTCATTCTGGAAATCAAAAGTGCCATTTAATAGACTTAAAGCACTTTGTTGTTGGATCTCTGTGCGGTACTTGTCCCGAAACAGCCGGTGCACATCATCTATCAATTTGTCTACATACGTCAGTGTCAGGATCTTCTGAAAACCAACCTGATTAGAGGAAGAAACAGCCAACAGATCTGCTTACATGCCAGCCCAGAACAGAAGAAAGCCAACTCAATGCAGGTTTCCAGAGACAGGCTCAGCCACCTGGCAGGTTTCCCTGTCCTGAGAGGCAGCCAAGCTCCCTGCCTGGGGCTAGAAGTTGTTGCTTTCCCCCATCTACCTTACTAGTTTCCTCAGTTACTTCACCATATTTACTGGGTACAGCTAACCAAGGTTCTCTTAATAATCAGGACTATGTTGGAATGTAATCACTGTCCCTCCACGATAACCCCACTTACCACAAACACCAGCTCAAACTGGTTGTCCAGTTTATACTTGAGTGTGAGTGCCTCATGGGTGAAGGAGTTGTTACCTCCTCGCTCCTGGAGAAAGAGTATGTCTCAGTGTTCAGACTATCCCCAGAAAACCCAGATGTGGGCCCCTCCCGGGATAATCTCGGGAAAGAACCAGACAGTTTCCCTAAAGTCAAACCTGTACCCTGGACAAGAGGATGCTGAGGTATTCTGAGATACCACCAGATTAAAAAAAAAAAAAAAAAAGTGAGACAAGGCAAAACAGGTGGGAATCAGGGGGAAAGTAGACATAGAAACAATCAGATCTACTAACAGCTGTACACTAGTTACAGTCTCTTAAAAGGGTTTTCCCATCATCTCACCCAGCCTCGAAACAACAGAAAAGCAAACTGCTGGGGACGAATAGAGGCCAAAAGGCGCCAGAATCCGGCTACAGTCCAGACACTGGAGTTGGAGGGCATCGCAAAGTTGCGGGGTAGTCTGATAGCGCGAGATAAAAAAGTGGAGTCCGGGTTACGGGTGAGTGACCAGTTTGAGGTGGGCAAGGAGAGTGGGAAGAGGCGCGGAAGGATCGGTCGAAGGGGCCCACGGATGGGGTCTGGGAGGAAGAGCCCAGAGTTGTGATCACGCGGGGGCGGTACCTGCAGCAGCACTGAACGAATCAACGCGTTAACGGGCCCGGTGCATGAGTCGCTCACGCCCTGGAAGCACCAGAGCACAAGCCCGCCCTTGGAGAAAATGGTGAAGAAGTCGAGCATGGCGGCAGCGGCACGGGAGCTGGAGCCAGCGCCGGGAACTCAGGCTGGGATCGCCGCCGCTTCCTGCTGCGCCAAGCGCGGGACACGTCACACCGGCGGCCCCGGAAACCGGCTCAGCCGCACTTCCGCTCGGGGCCGCCGGGCTCCCGCCCCTTTCCGCCGCGGGCACGCGGAAGTGACGTAGACGCAAAGCCAGCCAATGGCGGGTAGGAGCGGGCCTGGGCAGGACTCCGAGGAGGTCGCGGGGTGACAGCCACCTATAGCGTGGATGGGCGGGGCCCATCCGGCCGCTGGCCAATGGGCGCGCTCTTCCAAACGGCCTGTGGCGCGGAGCAGTGACGGCGGGGATGGCAGCGGTGCATTGGTGTGCCTCTCTGAGGAGCCGGGCTCAGACTAGCCATGCTTCGAAGGGCGCTGCAGCTCGGCTGGAGCCGGGGACTCTTCATCCGGAGGCTGGGCACGCGCAGAGGAGGCTCTTCTCTGGGTAAAGTTGAGGGTAACGTGATTCTGGGGTGCCCCCAACCTCCGGCTATGTGACCTTCAGGACCCAGGCAGGACAGTGGGTCAACTGGGGGGGGGGCGGGCGCTGGTGTTAAGCTTGCCTGCCAGAGCTTGTAGGACCTGGACAGGTGTTTGGCTCCCAAGGCGACTCTTCTCAGGTGACAAATCCCACATCATCTGTGCCTCATCTTACTACCAGAATAACAGTCAGGCTGACTCAGATGGGCATTAAGTGGTACAGATGGGCATTAAGTCCCGCCTGCGTTGAGAATGCTGTGTTACTGTTGTAGCCGTGAAAGAGTGAAGAAGAGAAGAGAGGATTCAGTGTGTGTTCTGGAAAGTGCCTGGAGTGTAGCTAGAAAGGGAAAACTTAATTAGATAATAGGTCTGTTCAAGTCTGAGTAGAACTCAACTTGAAGAATGCCCTGCACTGCTAGACTCAAAGCTAGTAGCAGGTAAAAGTACATGGGGACTGAGGTCAGCCTTGAAAGTTCAAGGAAGAAGCCGGGCTCCGTGGCTCAGCCTGTAATCCCGCGCCTTTGGGAGACTGAGGTGAGTGAATTGCCTGAGCCCGCGGGTTCGAGACCCGCCTGGGCCACTTGGCAAGACCTCATTTCTACAATAAATCAAAAAATTAGCTGGACGTGGTAGCGCACGCCTGTAGTTACAGCTACTTGGAAGGCTAAGGCGGAAGGATCACCGGAGCCCAGCAGGTCGAGGCTG